AAAAAAACTTCTATAAACTTAATTGGAAATGGTACAAGGAAAAGGATGATGGAAATGTTATATATTTTGATTGGAGTGTTGGTTACGTGGATGTATAAATTTATCAAGGCTAAATGAATTCTATCTTTAAGATCTGTGCATTTCACCGTATATAAATTTTACATCTACTTTAAAAAAAAGACAACTGTTTTACAAGTAAAATGACAATGTAAAAACACCAAAAAATTCCCCAAAACTTATCTTTTATCACTTCCACCCATGAGAAGACCAAACACCTAACTCATTATTATGTCCAACTCTCTTGCAATTTTCCTCCATTTCAAACATAAGGCCAAATCAAATTTAAAAAGGCAACCATTCAAAATGATAACATAAATGAAAACTAATATTTAAAATTCAAAACCAATCTTTAAAGCAAAATCCAAACTATGGCTACCATCTGGATACAATTTTAAGTTCACACTTCCAAACATGGAACCGAATCTTCTGATTCCCGTATAATTAAGGCAAATATGAAAATATCCCTAAAATAAAAAAACACAACTACTTATCTTAAACTCAACTACTACTCTGTAAACTAAAATAGTTACTATTGAAATTCATCTCAAGCCAAACAGAAAACGTTCAGATAAATATAGAATCTACTTTATGCTAATAAGTTTATTTCATTTCAAACAACTGTCCTGGGTTCTACTGAAGAAACCCAATGACAATGTAGAAAAGTGAAACCAGACTTGCCCAAGATCATATAGAAGTATCTGGACTTAAATCCAGGGTGTAACTACTAGGCCAGTGTTCTTTCTATTGGATATAAATCTTTAAAAAAAAAAAAAAAGAAAAAGTGAAACCATAAGAAAAAAAACATTAACTCGGAATGTGTGGGGATTATCAGTACTGAAAAAAATCTCAATTTAGTATCTCTTTAAGCAAATTCACATCTAATACTTTCAGAGATACCTAATTTAATGTAGTCTTACCAAGTAAGTTTTTAAGATCTGCTAAAATAATAATCATAAATTTGTTTTTAATGTGCAAATAAATGTTGCTTTAATTCAGTACTTACACATAATACCACTCTTCCACAAAGTAGGGTCTGGAGACATATTCTTTGAGGTCTGCAAGGTGCATTTTCCTTTGAAAAGGGGTCCCATAGCTTAAACTTTTAAAACTACAAGCTGAACTAACAAAAGTATCAAGAAATTACTTGGCATATTCTACATCTGAATTATCAATGCCAAACTGATAATTAAAAATATTAATAAGGTTTACTATTACTATAAAAATATAATTTAAAATGTTAATGAGGTTTTCTATTAAAATATTTGCACAGTATGTATAGGGGCAGGGGCCATACAGGAAATTTCTGTACCTTCTGCTCAACATTGCTGTGAACCTCAAAAACTGGTCTAAAAAAGTAGACTCAAAAAAAAAAAAAACTGGGGTCGGCCAAGTGGCTCAGTTGGTTATGAGCACAAGCTCTGAGCAACAGCGTCACCGGTTCGATTCCCACAGAGGCCAGTGAGCTGCGCCCAGGCTGAGCTGCTGCTGAGCTGCCAACAGGTGGCAGGATGGCTCAGCTGGTGAGAGCATGTGCTCCTAACTACAAGGTTGCCNTTTTTATCCTCTCTACACTATACTGCCAGAAGAGTGGGTCTTGATGAGTGACACAAACCACTTCCTGTGGAAACAATACTGCATTGAGTAGCAGGTTCAAAATTGATCCCCCACTTAAAGGCTGGCCGAGTGGCTCAGTTGGTTAAAAGCTCACTCAGGAGTGAGAGCTCTGAGCAACAGGGTCACTGGTTCAATTCCCAGCCCAAGCAGGTGGCAGGATGGCTCAGCTAAAAAAAAATAAAATAAAAATATAAAATTGATCCCCCACTTTTCCTACAAGATTGGAGTCCCCTTTACAAGTACTTTCATTCTCCTTTTTCTGATTCTCTTGGCATGCAATTTAACTGACACTAAAGACCCTTCAAGCCCTTTGGACCCAAGATTTTCCTTCTCATTCCAGGGTTCCTAGGTATCTCTTTGGTCACATTTCCATTACAACTTCTCTTACCACTATTTTTAGTCAGCTACATAGGTAGCTTGTGGGAGGAGAGATTCATAAAAACTAAAGATCTCAGGGCTATGTGGTAGATGTGTTTTTGAGTATCAAACTTCCCCACTTTTCTAGTGGGAAAATATTGAGCAAGTTTAACTTAACTTCTTAACACTTCAGTATTGTCATCTCTAAAATGGAGATACTTATAGCACTTACCTCATAAAATGTTCATTTAACAACTGTTTATTGAACACCTGTTATATGCCACTCTAAGTGCTGAGTATTTAGTATTGTAAGTTGGAAATAGTCCAACTTGTCAAGCAGAGACTTAAAAATTTACCAGGGAGCTCAGACATTAAAAAAATATACTGCGTAACAATTTAAGTTTTATAATGTGACCAGTCCCAAATAGTGTGCTGTGGGTGTAATGTGAATGGAGGATTCTAAATAGTCTGAAGAATCAAAGAATGATTTCTTAATTAGAAGTTTAAGGGATGAATAGAAGGATGCCTGACAACAACTTTTAGGCAGAAGCAGGGGTCAGCAAACTTTTGAGACGAAGAGCCGCCAGGGGTCAGCAAACTG